TAAAGCGTGATAATATACAACAGATATACTTGCATTGAAATAAATCATTAATCTGATTTTTTAGAATAAATAACATGATTTGTACCACAACGTATTTGACATTTAAGCAGTAGTGTAACGTAATATCAATCAGTATACAAATGCAATATTTAGAATTAATATATCTCTAGTTTCTACTAATAATTCTTCTGAAGAGCGTCACAGATAAAATTGTGTAAAATCACAATAAATTTACTAAAAAGGTTTAATCATCCTATGAATATATTATTATGTCTACTGAATATGTAGTTACAATAAACTGGATACTTTATCTGTTACATTTTCAGGTTTAGTTTCAGATAAATTAATTTTCCATATCTTCCAATTTTTTCAGTATTATGTTAGTTAATAGAATTTTAGTCGGCTTTATGGTTACAATTTCTACAAATTCACGACAAAATCACATATACAAAATATACAGTCTTACATCGATAAGGTAAAATTACGTAATATTATAGAAGACATATAATGACAATATTGTTGACTAAAGATATGGTCATGTGGTCCGAGAAAAGGCAAGACACGAGATGGCAAGGTGTGAATGAGGGATAATAACCTTACGATGACCAGATGTCGCTAGTTGGGAATAAGCTGAACTAATTTGTTACGCAGATAGTCATTGAAAAGTTGCGATTTAATTATAACTTTTTCGGCTTCTAGTGTATATAATCACAAAAAAAAAATGCCTGAGTGCCGTATTCTATCATTTTACATAAATCTCTACACTTTTGTAACAAAATAACTTAACCCGCTAGGAAATGTATCAAATATTTCATCACATTCCAAAGTGGCGCTATCTGGTCGCAGATAAAGTGGATGCATGGATCGATAAATATTTCCCTATTATCCATTTATAGGTTGCCAATTAATTTTATTTTATAATACATAATTTATAGAGATGAAAATCAATTTCGTCACAATTTTTAAAGTGGGATAGATAGATATGTTAAATAACATGAATCGTTCATATGTTCTCAACAAATAAGGTAAACAGTTATATGTGTCAGCAAAAATTTTAGAGGACCTTCAACCTAACAAAAGCTACTAGATTTTCAAACCAGCGAAAACATTTTACGAGACAAGAGTTAGTCTCATCTTTTTGATAGCTCTTGAGTATGACTATGATATAAAGTAGTAAGGATTTGTGTTGCAGCATTCTATATTTTTACAATCTTATAGAAGTGACAGATACACGTGTATAAGTGATCATTGAAAGAAAAGGCATCTATGCATGTTAAAAGAGTTTACACGACGAGCAACAGTCTTTCAACGTTACAAAGTATTATCATAGCTTCGTCAAAATCCGACATGGTTTATTAAAGGTAAATATTTTAACACCTTTTCTACTTTAAAAGACATAGTATTGTGTCAAGGCAAAATAAGTTTACATCCAAATAAATCATAAATCAAATATAAATATTATTGTTTTTAATTAGAATATCATATTAGAATATACGTATGTAATACATTAATATGAAATGCCTGTCTGTCTAAAATTTATTATTATATCAAGCATACTTTAAGGCTAAACAGACAAGCAGATCATACTAATTATTATATATGTTTAACACATCTTGATGTTATTTGTTCCCAAAATAATACAGAAATAACATAATATGACGACGTTACAAAATTGACGCACAATATTTTAAACTCATCCTATGTTTGTGCATATATTATACATAAATTGGCCACCAACTACAATGAGAAGTATTCCTTATTAAATATATTTTAAAATATATAACTAATAATTGCAGGTTATTTAAATAGGAACATAATCAACAGAATGCTTTTTCTTCTTAAGGCAAGACTGATATGAGGCACTTTGTTTTACGTTTATTTGAATTATTTGAATAAAAACGCCCACTGTAATCCTACTTAATCAGTCATAGACACTGTCAACAACCTGAATACCATATATTTAATTAAATACGATAGTAAAACACTCATTACAAACAATATAATATATAGGAGTTTCAAATAACACATCGATAATGTAAATAGATTTAATACAAGACAATCGATATCGAAGTGTAATTCGCCTGACTTAAGCTTATTTGGATTAGGATCAAATATAATAGTATCACAAAACTCCGCCAGTAAAATGTTTTCAGAAAATAATACTGTTTGATAAAAAAAACAAATTGTGCTTTCTCTTCGTAAGGCCTTTGATTATTGCTTTGCATTTTATTTTTAATTATTAAAAATATTTTTATATGATCAATTTACATTTAGCTACTTTAAAATATATTAATAATGCACATGATGTGTTAAGTACTTTGTAAGCACTGAAAATATAGTACCACTATCAAAACTAACACACTAGTGACTATGCATGGACGAATGAATTACTAGCAGATAGGTTACTAATGACATCTATACATGCAATTAAATAATATATTCAAACGCTTTTATATATCAATATTATACGATCGGAATGTAAAGCTGCCATTCCTTCCTCTAAGAGGAATACCACAGATGTTGGACATTTATTTAATTTCGACAAAATTTAAATCATACTATCTGTTGAATACCGGGTTACCAATATAAAGTCAGTATGAAAATGCATTTTCCAATTCAATTCATGTAATTTTTGGGCACGCAAACTTTATATTGACACAATATTGAATATTTAGAGTTCACACACAATCAGGATTTTGTAAAGTGTCGAAATGCAGCATGTGGCTTGATATAGGTGGACAAAGACTTAATGTAACGTCAGAAGTAATTCTAATTTCATTAAGTACATAGCGCAATATATATATATATATATATATATATATATATATATATATATATATATATATATATATATATATAATCCAAGAACATTAATTTTAAAACGAAATTATTTTATGATTAAGGCTATAATAACGGAACGCAATGACGTATTTTGTAAGTTAAGTTTTTTATTTCTATAATGTTCCCATAACAGCTTCAGAAGTAGGAAGCCCTGAATACCATGCGTGCATAAAAAAAAACATACAGTAGAATTAAGAATCTCTCCTTTTTTGAAGTCAGCTAAGATAGATTTGCCCGTGACCTCGTCCACATGGATACAAAACAACAAACTTAGGAACCATTTTAGATATTACACTGAAACAAAACCTATGTAAGCAGTCCTAGTGTCTAGTGTAGTAAATAACTTGTGTAATTTTTATGTAGGTAGATTTTTATAGTTAAGATAGAGAAAAATCCGTTTGTACAGACAGACAGACAATTTTAACATTACAATCATGTTGAGGAGAATATCTAAGCTGCAAACATTTTGAAGAACAGGTTTATAATAATTCATTGTTGTCGCTCCGTGCCCAAATGACCCCGCTAGGTTTGTTGTGACGCCAGTTTTGTAGTTCTCGGTTGCCTAGCTCCAGGCAATCGAGAACTACAAAACGGGACCGATTTTAATATCTTTTTGTCTAATTTCGACGGTATAACTTAACATACTACATAAAGTTTATAGTTATGCCTGAATTTGTTGGTCTTTGGGAGGCAGTTTTCAAGAATCTCAGGCACCATATCAAACTGATTGTTGGTAATATCTCTTTAATTATTTTTAAGGACTATAAATACGTTTTAACAATTTGAGAGTGTTCCTAGTTTTTAAAATAATTAATTTATGAAAATAATTTATATAAAAAATTGAAAACGTAAAGAAATGTTTGCTCTACTGCCACTATCCAGGAGGAATACGTTTGTGTGGACTAAACGCCGCCTGGAAGCTAATGCGATGCTGAACATCTTAGTCTAGTCCTTATTGCAGAAAGATAAAGTTGAAAGTTCCTTTCCTATAAGCATATTTTAATTCTTTCTTTATTTTTTCCTTCTTTTTTCGGTCTACACGACGGACATAGAAATACCATTCTTTAGTTGTTAATATTCCAAAAATCTCTCAAAGAGACTTAAACTTAAAGATTTAAGCTCAGAGAGAGATTTAAACTTCGTTTATAGTGCCCAAGACAAAGGGTTCAATATCTTTGCCGACGTCCGCTTTCCCAGACTATTAAGATGTTGGGCTAGAGTAAAAGAGGTTACTACGTCACTAAACATCAGGTACATTGGAAATCATACTTCGATCGTTTCGGTTGTACGTTCATGTTTGACCCAACTTTTTTGAATATTGGGATTGTGCCGTTGACGATGTAGACGAAATGTGTACGTAGTAAAAGAAATAAATTTTAAGAATATTTGCCGCGTTTCATTATAGTTCCGAACCTAAAATTTCAAGGGCTCGTCCGGGAATGCAACCGTATTTACTAAATATTTCAAAGGAACTTCTTATAACCAATTGGCAAAGTTTATATTCGAAATCCCAACTTTTATGGGCATTTTCTAAAATATATTTATAGGTAAAATAAATATTTTTGTGCAAGTTAGTTTTGTAGACATAATATATTCTATAATGAGTGTTTCTATATTATTATTTTTATATTTTTACAATTATAAGCTTCCGATTTATCATTGATGATTGTTAATAAAATATGTACAATAAATATAAATTATAAACACCAATCTAACAACACTAATAACTAACTATTTGATAAAATATAATGGAATGTTTATTCAGGAAATCGCTAAGGCGAAGAATTATATTCAACAATAATTTCTACATAAGTACGCGTACTATATAATAAAATAGCAACCATTTTAAAAATCTTACCTATAATCGATATAACTGTTGAGCTCTTACATCACTATCACACTGTTTCTTTAATGTTGGCAAGCCGTTGCTTCACGAGGCAAAATGGCAATATAAAAACTACAATTCCTCAATCATCCAACAAGGCGGCATTTTAGGCTCTTATCAACAAACCATTATCAACCTTAACCTTCTTTGTTCTTAAGATTTAAAAATACTTTTTGGAATGACAATCAGACTTGTGCACAACACTCAATTATTCAATCCTCATTCATTTGATCACTTTTGAGGATAGTTCGATAAACGAACAGGCAATTTATCCCTACATTATAATACAGCACCTATGCGACTTTGTGTCACCAACAATTTCACTTGTGTGTCCTGAAAATCTGGTAACGGTTGAATTTGATGACTGGACCGCTTGATTCTTCTGCGCTGAGGGTTCTTGCTTTGTTACCCCCTCTGGTAACGAGTTCAGACTGTGGTTGTTTGTAGAGTTCAAACTATTTTCCACCGGGCTGCCGTTTGTTCTTATTTGCGAACGCTGCTTCTTCAAATCTGCTAGTGTGCCTGAAATGTAAATTTTAATTTTTGTTAAAATTTAATGCATAATATGCTTACACGTGTTGACAATTTTGAGAGTGACCAAGGATAGAAAAACTGTTTTAAATAACTCTTAAAATCACAAGTAATTTCATTTTTTTTGACCTTGCCTAATTCTGAATTTAATATGGCTTCAGCTTCCTAAATTCAATATGCCTTGGTTACGCTCAGAAACAACATTCAACAAATTGCAAGATAAGCATAATAGTTTCAGTGTAAATTTCTGATTAGTTATAGCTTAATGCATAAAACTATACGTAACGTGTTGTTGTTTAGCATAAAAATAACGAAATAGCAACGGGATAGTATCAGTCGCAATATCAGGCAAGCTAAATGTCTTTGCAACTACGAAATCTAAAATAAAAAAGAGGTATAAAAAGGCCATAGAGAAAGTACAGATAAAAACTCCACTAAAAAGTACATACATGAAACAACTATATAGACTAGACTGCACTATAACTAGTTGAGGCCAAAAAGGAGTAAATAGTCACAATAACAATAAAAAAAAACAAATCGCATGCAACTAACAACCAGATTGCTTGCCTCCATATGCATCCTCGTGAGTTACTTCCCCATCCCCACTTCGGAAACTTCAATTTTAATTTAGTAATTTTCACTGTGCGAAACTGTTAGATAATCTGTACAAGTTATTTGTTAAAAATTGTGCCATTAATGTAGAGTAGAATATTATACAGGAATATTGCCTGCTGATTCAATATATTAATTTTAGTATTTTATATTGTGGCTTATTCTTTTAATAGGCAGCAGATTTAATTTATTCTTATCATTTTTTTTAAAATGATAAGAATAAATTAACTAGTGTGGGGGTACACTAGGATTTTCTCCTGTATCGTGGAGGCAGTTTACAAAAATAAATTGCACAAGGACAAACATCCAGACCCGGAATAATTATTTGTAGGCCATACAAATACTTGTTCCGTGCGGGATTCGAACCCGCGATCCCCAGCGCAGCAACTCATTGCTAAGCCACTGCACCACGGAGCCGTCATTAATGAAAATCAATTAAATATTAAAAAGTTCTCTTTGTAATATATTCAAAAGCATTAGGATTACTAAAACACTTGGAATAATCCACAATGACTATAAGAACACTAAATTTATTATATTAAGAACATTCACAATATTCCAGTATATTATTATAGTGCTATAGTGAAAAGAAGTTGTTCGTAAGGATGCATATAATTACCTGCGTTAATCATGACGGTGACATGAACATTGATTTTACCATTATTGTCTGTGGTGTAGGTCGCAGAGCTGCCATCTGTTAGCGCGATCTGGCTCGGGCTCACAATCACCTCTTTCATACCGTCAATCGCGTCTTCAGTTTTGAAAGCTTCATTGTCCTGCCCCTCGGGGGCTTTTCGGACGCCATTGGGTAAATTTGGTCTTGATTTTTCGGTCGTATCCTGCGTAACGGGGCTAGGGGCGTAGTGTGAGGCGGCGTTTACACCAAACAATGGATTTGATACTTTTGGTTGATTGACTGACTTTTCGTTTGTTTCTTCGTTCGGTTTATAAGGTATACGCTGGTTGTAGGTGTGTTTGGGAAAGGCGTAGTCGACGTTTTCCGAATCATAGCTATGATTGGATGTAGTGGAGCTGATCGATAGGCGGTTGTGCATTAAATCGCTCGGTTGCAGTTTGTTTGCTGTGTTCTGATCGTTTTCTACACCGTTAGATAAACCCTGTAATATAAGAATACATAAATAATACAGTATGATGTAAAATATAATATAAAAATAATAGTTTTACTAACATTTTCATTCCTACAGGTGTTATGTTATTTAAAATGTAGTGTGGTGACAATGTGAGCGAAACTATCTACCCATTTCATTCCGTGCGTGTGGCAAGAGCTGACTTAAGGAAATGACAGCAAGATCTCATGGCTTCCGATAGAACTGGGTATACAAACAGATGTTCCACGCTCTCACAGAATACCAGCGTAAAATAGCAGCATAACGCTGCTGTGTTTCGTATGGTGAGTGTAGAGAACCGGAGACCCTTTTTTACTGGAAACGAGGCATTCCATCTTAGTCCTCACGGGTGACAACGCATCTGCATTTTGATTCGTAATCGAGGATAGATGTAGATGTCTATGGGCCACAGCAACCACTTACCATCAGGTGGACTGTGTGCTCGTTTGTCACCCTAATTCTATATAAATAAAAAATGTAAATATCCATACAACGGGGACTAGCATCAAAGGTCTTACGTTTGACACGGTAATTCACTAATCAGCCGATATTGGGAGTTGTCCCATGGTCAGCAATAGTCTCCCTCGCGCTGATGATGACAAGAATTACTAAGCAAATTTTAGGATTAACATATTATTAAGGCGTTTCAGTGTTATTCTTTACTTAATATTTAAACGGACTGGTTTCGCAAGAAAGTAAGGTGTAAGTTATTTCGATTTTTTCTGTCGAGGAATCCTTCTGCTTTGGTACTAAGCACTGCATTCACTGTGGTTTTTAGGCTTTAAGAGTATAGAGGCCTAGTATTATTAGATACTGTAAGACATTCCTTTTTAGTCTCCCAGGGTTGAACCTCTGTGTGGATGCAGGTCGTGCAGGTGTATATTATCTGCAGTACCCGCGTACCATCACAGGTGCAATCTAAGCTTGTTTCAAATTTCAATGTTATAAAAGAACAGATGTATCTAAAGAAGAATCAGTTAGTGAAACCTCTGTGAATATAATATCACTGGTATAGACACATTAATATCTTTAAGCACTGAAAATGCCTCGTTGACAGGAAATGAATTTTCGGATCATTCCATTCGTAAGTAAACACCTACGTATATTTTTACTCTTTGAATATTTTCAAGATCTTTACCTCGTATTAATTTGTTACTAATAAACCAAACTTTAGTGAGTATTTAGTTGTTTCAAGCTAATTTTATCAAATAATTCTTTATAAAGAGCAAAACCTAGTGTTGCTAGTTAATTAAAAAACCGTTGATACAAAATGATGTATGTCTATAGGTTTCCATCCGACGTTGATTTACGAAAAGTATGGATTGATGCTCCCGGACGAAACAAGCCAGGAGGATGGGCAGCAGTTTCTAATAACAATTAGAAAATAAGAAACTCCATTTGCCAACCCGCACGCCAAGCGTGGCAACTATGGTAAATGTCCTTATTATGAGATAGTCTATGTGAAGCTCTATGTTTAGCCGTGGATTTGGATAGGCAGTAATGAATGAATGAAAGAATGGGAAAACCCTAACGTTATGGAAATAGCATTTTGATGGCAACACTTACTGTATAATGCGAGACACACTGAAGTGGTCACTTCAGATGCAAATAAAAACATTTTTTTTACTTTTTTTTGGTGTTTTTTTAACGTATTTTACTATCAATTTATGATGAATTTGAAATTGTATAGATTTATTATTTAAAATACTGGCTACTACTAGAAAAAGGATGTAACCTTTTTCTAAAAAAAAAAATATAAAAATATTCTTTGTGGCGTAGCATTAATAATTTAATATTAACTAACGTAATAACCTAGCGCAAACTTTTATAATTAAAACCAATCCAAATTTTAGAAAAATCTAAAAAAAATTGTATATTTATAAAAAAAAAAACCAAGAGAATAAGGTTTTTAAACCATTTGATATTGACCTTACTTCATTAAGCCTAATTTTAGTAAACTATTTAGTAATCTGTGGCCTAATTTATAACCTATTTATGGTCTACTTAAGAGGTAAAATGAAAGTCAATTAATTTCATAAATTTTTGTTAATAAGATATTAGAGATAAAAATCATTCATTTTTCACGTATGTAACGTTATAGTGAGGTGGTAAGATCTCAGTCTTTGCTTTATTATAAAATGTTATTTGTAACTTGTTAATAAATAAATAAAAATTATATTTCACGTCATTTTTGCCACGCCATTTTTTAATGACAGGCACGGATCTAGAAGTAATAATTTGGAAGGGACAGAGACTGATGATTGTGGACATCGCCATTCTTTTATATCTTTGTAAGATTAAAGTCAATGTAAATGTACTCATATAACTACGCCTGATGTGTATAACGTAATAAGCTATCTGAAAAGTTTTATACTGTGTCAACTGTTACAAACTGTTAAAAATAAAACATACCTAATAGCAAACAAAATGATCTTATAACTTGCAATTTGCAGTTATTGAATACAACATAATTAACAGCTAGTATATACGAAGTCTATGATTATATGATAGTAGTACGCAATGATCTGGCGCAAACATTCTATGTATAAAATCAATGCGGTCGCAATGTTTCCGTGATCGTTTTATGAAAACAAGAACATTGCATGCAAATATCCGAAAAAATATTTGTAGAATTCATTTTTCACAGTTTAAATTAAATTTCATTGCTCTGTGAAATACTTATGCGAAATATTATTTTATTAGTGAGCCGTGGGGTAGGTAGCTCAGATGGTTAGCGCTTGCTGTAAATTTCACAGTATGCGAGCAAATGAGGTTCCATCAACGCCTTTAATTGCAATTTTAAGTGCTGATTTACTCCGTGCTCAGTGGTAACGGAAAACATAGTGAGTGTTGGAAATATTTCGAATATAATATTTCGTAATATTTTAAGTTAGATTACTTGAATTTGACGTGGAATTAAAAATGAGATGAAAGTGGACCTTGTAAGATTGATAAGCGAATAGATTAGTCGCAATAGGTTTAATTTTTTTTTATTTAATTTAAACAAATGTCTAAATTTTTTAATACACAGTATTAATTTAATTTCAGACGTTTTTATAATAATTAATGATTGGCAAAAATTATAAAGACTTTCAGAACTCGGATTATCGGAATAATTAGAGCATTAAGTGCTTTGCTTGAATAAAACACCGCTGAACAGTAATATAAATTAATATTGCATTAGTTTCATTGCGGAAAGCTGTCATAATAATAAATAAATATTATAGCTACGTACTTAAAAATTATAATATTTTGAAAATCAATTTTATGCATACTCGATATCGAAGCCCAAGCACCGACGGCTCCTTGCGCGCGCGGTGCAAATTGTCATTAGTTAAAAACATGATATCCGGCGACATCTTTATTAAGTTTATAACAAAATACACATCACAAATACACTTTATCCACAACAAAAACAAAACACTAGATCATTAATTTAAAAACGTGTTTTCGCTACGATATATTTTTGTGTCAAAATGCATTATTTTTTAAACTAATAAGTGCGAAATGTGCGCGTCGTATCGAGCGCGCGTACTGATAATGGTGCGCTCGTGATAGAAACGCTGCGCGAGGGAAATCGCGGGAAAACTGCTGCCAATCAATGCACCTAACGTAACGATTAGCCATTTGTTCATATATTACAGTTACAGCGCGAAATGCATATCCATATGATTTATTATAAAACTCGATGAAAGAGTAGTCCTAAAAGATCTCCTCACAATTTATTTTAAAGATTCGTGAGGCTCCATCCATCTATCTCCTTTGGTGGTCTAACTAACCATGCGTACATTTCAATTGACTTGGAAACCATGCTCAAATTCTTGACGGACTTGACTTTATCAGCCAAAGTTCAGAAATTCATATTTTTTTTGGTCTTTCATCATGATAACGTCAGACCACACACATCTTTGGCCACTCAGCAAAAATTGAGCGAGCTTAGTTGGGAAGTGTTAATACATCCACTATATAATTCCTGACCTTGCACCATCATTGCACCACCATTTTCACCTGTTTCGGTCTCTTCAGAATTCTTTGGGTAGTGTTAGGTTAACATCAAGAGAGGACTGTCAAAACTACTTATCGCATTTTTTGGATCAAAAATCCCCAAGATTTCTACAGCGACGGGATTATGTCACTACCTACAAGATGACAAAAAGTTATCGAACAAAATGGCACATATATAATATCATTAAATGTAATTGAACTTTGAAAAAAAAAGTGTCTTAAATTTGTATATAAAATACGAAAAGCTTTTTCCCCGACCTAAGATATACACCTAAAACCATGTTGTCACTTAAAATGTACGAAGCACGCAGTCTTTCTTTCTTTATTGGGCTGAGTTGCAAGTTAACACCGGCTTTATACAAATAAATAATACAAAAGAATTCGAAAGTGAGAAGGCGATGTTGTTTGAAACTGAGGTACTTATGAACAAATAGTTAATTTTGTTAGCAGCAAATTTTCTTTTTTCCAAACAATTTACGTACTTTTTGTTCAATTTAGATGACGTACCTATTGTTTCAATAACAAATTACTACGTGCGCATAATTTGGTAAATCATTGCTGTCGTTCCATCTAATATTGCTTGACGGTGCGAAGTTGCCACTAGAAAACTTTTTCTCTATCTATTGTCAATTACACTGGCTATAAGGCATTTTAATAAAAATAAAAAAACATTATTTTGGATACAAGGACAGATGCAGTTGATTGGTTATATGTTGCAATGATAAAGATAAAGCAACCGACCGATGAAAAATACTTTATAATCTATACTAATATAATAAAGCGGAAAAGTTTTTTTGTTTTTTTGTTTCTTTACACGCGCTAATCTCTGGAACTACCAATCCGACTTGAAAAATTATTTTTGTATATTATAGCCAGATTCAAGTGGAATAGTATAGGCTATCTAGCATTAAGCTATATCACTCAGCTAGCCTTAAATATAGATATTTGTTAAGCAAGTCAGAAGAAAAAATCACTCACGAAATGAT